GTTATAGCAATTCCTTTCCAATTTTTTGTATATATAAATAGACTTTACAATGCATCTTGTTTTCAATGTCATTGACATTATACGCCAATCTATGAAATTTTTCGTGTCTAAGTAAAGGAAATCCTAAAGTGAATCTGTTTTATCAGTTTTTCCAAACAAATCTTTTTCTAATTGTTTTTGCAGATTAAAAAATCTGCAAATCCTTCTCTACATAAATTAAGTATAAACAATAATGTAGGCCAAATCAGTTGACTTTATGCCAGAAACGAAAAAAGATTAGAAAATTACAGTTTTATTACTGACTTTTAACGACTCGTAATAATGTTTGCTTTATATACGAGTTTATACTTCGTATGTATAAAATCTTGGTTTGGATTAGAAATTACCTGAATAATCAATGTTGAATACTTAGAATTAGATTTAGATACTTAATACGAAAAATCAGTTAGTTAAAAAATTTGTATATGTGAATGCGATATTGATACTATATAAAATATAGTACTATATAAAAATATATTGTACTATATAAAAATATATTGATATGTCTTGCATTTTGTCGGTAAATCAGCGATCTTATCGGAATTCAAGCAAATGACAGAATTTTTTTAGTCACTTAGTACATATACACACATATAGATAGATACTATGTTGTGTTTACGTATCTAATAAACTTAAAATATTTTTAAATTAAATAAGATTTTATATTATTCTATTTTAGATAAAATGTATAATATGAAAAAATTATTAAAACATTTGAAAAAATTTGAAGATGGGCATATAAAAATAATTTCTATGGAATTAGAGAAATTTGAGAATGGTCTACAGGTTGTTGATAATTGTCAAACTTTTGAAACAAAAGATGAAAATTACTTACAATCAATTTCTTCAGAAGAATCGTCTTTTATCAAAAGGCATCATTATAAAAAAAAAATACAGTTAATTAACAGTGGATTATGTATTATCATAAATCAAATGTATTTTATGAAGGAGGTATTACTATTTTAATTAGTGATGAAAATATATATATTCTATATTTTTATCTTTTTAGTATGAAACACGATTTGGAACAAGAGCAGATTCTATTAATCTATCTGAAACATTTAAAACCTTTGGGTTCAAAGTCGAGATACTTCAAAATCTAAAGAAAAATGAAATGTTAGAGAAAATAAAAAACATTTCGAAAGATTATGGTATTAAGTATGATTGTTTATTTCTCTGTATTCTAAGTCATGGATACAAAGGTGAATATATACAACAATAGGAATTTTTTTGAAGCATTTAAACTTTTTTCTGTTTTCAAATATTATATAATTATTATGAAAATATCTTAATAGAATAATCGTGATAAAATTATATTATGCTATACCTTTAAGGCTTTTGCTCATTATTATTATCTTAAATTGACATCAGAAGTAAAAAAAACAATAAGAATTCTTGTAAATTACCTTTAAATAGAAATATTTTTGATTAAACAATATTTGCAATTGATAGAATAGATTTATAAAATTATATAATATATATTGAAAACCATTTACTTATTTTGGAGAGAAATTAAATTATATTTATTTCTGTATATTATTAATTTGAACACACAATTTGAAAATTTGTTATGTGACTGTAAGTATAAAATGAAGAACTGTGATTGATTTTCTTATACCTTATGCATTCTGCAGCATTAAGCAAAAGTCTATGTTTATGTTCCATACTGCACACTTTATCCAAGAGTCGTCTTAGAATGTTTTCATATATTAATATATTTTGCAAGAATTTTTATTGTGTATTTTTAACAATTGTTAAAAATCACAGGCTGAAATAATAATAGTGAGTGAACAGGAGTTTTAAAATTTTTATTTATTTTTATTAATTAATTTATATTTAAGATTAATGTGTGATTAGTAAATGATGAGTTTATATTATAGGAGGCATAATTGCATCAGATGAGAAAGAAGTTTCTCTGGAAACAATAGAAAGGGCTCTTTGTTGTATGGAATTAAAAGATGTTATAAAAATTGTTATTATTCAAGCCTGTCAAGGAAAAACACGTGGTAACAAAAAAAAGCTATGCAAAAGTTAAAGTTATAATAAAAATATTTTGCCAAATTTAATATATGGGTTACACAATATATACATATATATTATAAAATATTTTAAAGATTTCAATGATTTTTTTGTGTTCATTGATGTCTTTTTTATAATTTTGAAAGATGCACAATATATTACAAAATTGCTTAAACATACTATACAGTTTACATTTATCAGATATGCTTCTATACATTAAAAGTGCATTCTTTTTACAATATACATACTATTAAATATATTAAAGAAGTATTATATAGCAGATTTTTCTTTTAGGAACTATAAGCAATTCTTTGACAACAGATGGTTTATATGATTCTTTTATACCCACAGAAGATATACGTCAATTTGCAAACTTTTTTATGTTTATGTCGACAATACAAGGTTTTCTATCAATACGTCATAAAGAACAAGGTAAATAGTTGGACTGTATTTTATAAAGATCTATATTTTTTCTTCATTTAGTAGGGTGTCCAGCAATTCTTAAATGTTCTTCAATTTTGGAATTTAAGTATCCTAAGAAACCTTTGCAATTTTAGAATTTTTTTTCATTCTTTTCTTTATAAAAAATATCGATAAAATAGCGATCTTGTTAGATCTTTATTCATTGGTCTTCACTTCAGGATCCTTAATAGTATATTAATGGTATATAATCTTATATATTTCCATTTTTTTTCAGGGTCATGGTTTATACAAGAAGTTTGTAGAATTTTCAAAACTTATGGGAATCAGTTAAGTTTTTATGATTGTATCAGAAAAATAATGAAATCTATTCGAGAAAAAAAAGGAACAATAGATGGGAATCAGATTGCACAATTAACAGAAATACGACTGGATCGTTTGGAATCAGACTTTCAATTAAAGCAAGTTATCTCTGCAGTTTAACTAGAAAGTAATCGTATATTATAAATATTATGTCTTATAAAAGTAGATATATTTAAATAAATAATTTATATATTGTTTGTTGACAAAAATTAATTTTAAAAGTTAAGGCTCCTGAGTTCATATTGAATTATGACATCAGAAGCTAGAAACGATACGTTAATTTTTATTACGTGCTATTTGTAAATAAAGCTAATTTGAATAAAATGAAATGATGAGATCATTTAAAACAATTGTAAAAATGAAGAATTCAATTCGGCAAAGCCAAATAGATCGCGACAATATGCATGAGAGACAGGTGTCGATATATTCTAAAAATTGATAGGGAGGAATTAGGAGATGAAAGAGAAATTGCAAGAATTTCGATGGAAGGATCAAGAAGGAAGGTAATCTCGAGTTGATAGGATTTCGAACCAGTATATATAATAAGTATGCCACGAGTATCGTGCTCTGTACTGTCCCTATGCACACAGTCAAACCTAATTCAAAATTCTTAGGATGGGCGAAAGCAAATTTCTACTAAAACATGAGTACATTTAGCAAGTTTTTCTACTAGTCTTTCGCTTTATTGTCACTGATCCCACAATATTTTCAATAGAGGAGTTACTCTTCGCAGGGAATTACTCTTATTATTGTTTGAACATTTACGAGACATAACAATATATGTTATAAGTAAAATTATAAAGGGTGTCTTGGATTTACTATAGATAAAGATAAGTTCTAAAAGGTAAGTTCGTCAAAAAGTCGGGAAGATTGCTAAGAAGTTGATGAAAGAAAGAGATAAGCGAACGAAAAAAATTGTAACTCTTTTGTGGAGGGGGGGGGGGGGATAACGCGTGAATCGGATCTTAATCTAAAAGTACGCTAAGATGCGGGACTCTTACATTTGTGTGTTTTATCGAATGACGGATTTAAAAATATTTTTTAAATCCGTTGATTACCATGGCTATAGAATGGAGAAATTCGAGAATTTCTCTATTCTACAGCCTTTGTTGTATGACAAAAACGGATGAACGAATATCATTCTAAGTCTCAAGCAAATCTTTTTTTTATATATTTATTTGAATGCTCTCTGCATAATTTTATGAAAGATGCAAAAAATGGTTCAATTTATAGGATTGGAATTGAAGTATATAAAGTTTGACCGCTTAGCCTTTATTTCTTAATTGTTTGTGTTTTTCATATAACGGTCTTCATAAAATGATACTTTAATATTATTTGAATTACATTTATAAAAGGAATAATGGACTACTTTGAGTTTAATGTGATTATATTATTAAGGATAATTATTGACTATACATTTATATATAGGTTGATATCTTAAACTTTATTTTCATGACAATAGAAAAAATAGATTTTATATATATATTTTACAATTTAATTTTTCAATCTTAAATATTCCTAAATATATTTATAGTTATTATATATTGCTGTGTTTCATTGAATTGATACAAGCATCAGTTATAACACGTATTATAAAGAAATACAGAAACTCAAAGATAGACATGAGACTGAATCCAGCAAATAGTCCAAGTAAACCGCCAAATGATGCTGCAAATATTAATAAATGTTATTATTTTTATATATAATCTTATCGCGAATGAAAGGACACTTATTTAACGTGGTTTGAGTCAAAATGAAAGAATCTAACAGAAAATAAGTGCGCTTTGCTTCTATCTGCTTTGTAAAGCGAAAAAAGATGCTGAAATGACGGAATTATCAACATTACAGGTGCATGAATATCTTTGAATTGACAGAATACAATAAAAAATCCTGTTTCAAGATTGAAATAGACGCAAAATTAGAAGGTATTTGACTTTGTACTAAAAATGAAAAAAAAGTTAAAAAATTGCACTTTTTAGTTCATTGAACTGTCACTTGACGTAGACATTTTCTTAATATAAAAGTTCTACATAGCTTCTATGGATAAAATGATGTAATACCACTCATGATGACAGCTATACGAGCTAAACGTAAGTGAAGTTTTTAATTTTTTTTTTTCGATTTTCTCATTTCTGGAATTTAATGCTGCGAATGTTTTTTTATGTGTACTTTAATTCTATAAATATAATTTTGCTATCCGTAAATCCAATTCGAAAAATTATCGTCAAATGGAATTGATGGTAAAGTAGGGCAACTTTAAGATCCCCTTATTAGGGATTAAGTCGCTTCTCTAGGATTCACTTTTTTTCAGTCATTCTTTCATTTTGTATCAAAAGGCGTTATATGCGTAAGTATATTTCATCAAAATTCGTGGTGTATTCTAAATTCTCACATTTTATAAGATGTAAACACTTTATCTTACCAAAAACATTGCGCCAACTATAATTGACTGATCGTCGATATTGGAAAGCAACCAAATCGTTGAAAAATATATGTATTACACTATAATTGCTGGTAGTGTTACTGTAAAATTATAACAAGGAGTTTTTACAATAACATGGATCCAGATATGATAATGCTAAAGTCACGTTATTTCTTTCTTAATTAGTTGTTAAGAAGAAGATAACGTGTTCTTAGCATTTACCGTATTTGGATAAACGGTATTGCAAAAATTCCTTAATAATATATATATCATTAATTCATAATGTCATTATATAAAACATACAGAGAGAATACATTTTGGCTGTGTTCCGTTGTTCACTATGAGTATATGTAATGTAAACTATAGATTTTTAATACTTAAAATCCATAATTTACATTATATATTACAGATTTTCGATATTCGCAGCGAATAATGGATCGCAGCTTTTAATGTATACATATAACTATCAAGGGCATAATCAGTCTCTAACATTCTAAATTTCTGTATGATACAATGTACGTTTCATATTTTTTAATTAGTCGACATAATTGTACACAAATAAAATGTGTTCAATTGTGTCGTTATTTTATATCACTTCTAATATTAAATTTTTATATTTCATAATCATTTACTTTTCGAGGAGTAAGGGTATATCCAAACTTGCATAGCCGCATAAATAATATTCAATCACATTTCTCTTACAAACGCACGTAAAATGATTGGATAATTTTCTTTATGAATATGTTTATGCGGCAATTTGCAAATTTGTAGATATACCCAATCACTCTAATAAAAGGTTTCAAGATTACATTCAAATATGTTGAACACATATAGGTATGAGACCTTTTCTTTATTTCACTTTGAAAAAAAGAAACTAAGCAATGTTTACAAGTCGACACTGTGTATCTATCACGAAATCGATGAGGTCGTCGGTAATATGTAATTTATACAAAAATAATTCTTATTTTACATATTATTTAAAAGAAGTAAAATAATAAAATCTGAAATTGATCCATCGCGTAATTAAAAAAACTTATAAAAATAGCTCTTGAGAAAGGAAAGATAATAGACTAATGACAAGTGGAAAAAGCATAATGAAATTACAAGAAGTAAGTTACAATTAGAATAAATGCAATTCTATTCATACTTTAATCAAATTATCATTTTTACTCTTAACTGTACTTTAATATCTTTTTCTTAAACATTAATTTAAGGAACTGTAAGGAATTAATAATGGAGTTAAAATTAATGTTGTTGAATAAATATTGTTTTAAAATTAGTAAAAAGCATATCTGAAAGAAAATATATAATTTAATGCTTTATATATGTAATTAATTATTTCTTTTACCCAGGGCTTTTTGAGAAACTGACACCGTTATAATAAACAGTATTATCGAGAGTTCCGAAGGAGCTTTCAATAGGATAATAATACAGAAGGCAATCCGGTATACATCCACAAGGTACTTTATTTACATCATCTAATGTTTTTGGAAAATTTTGTTGTTTTTGATTCATGTCTGGCCATGAATTATCGAAAAATGCTGTAAAAACATTAATAGAAATATTAAAGAAAAATTAAAGAAATACTTTATTATAGTATTTTGGAAAGCCTTGGGAATAAGTTTACAAGAATGTACAATAAAAAATGAGGGTGTTTCATTAAAAATATTTAATTTGATCATTAAAAAAATTCGATTTGACTTACATATGACATTGCAAACTCTCAAAATCAAACTCTTATCACCGTTAAATACATTTTATTTAGTTATACGTTTAATATATATATATATTTTCTTCAAGCATTGAATATCCTTAAGATTACATGTCCTGGTACCTAATGTGATAATAATTTAGTATTTATATATAAAAAAATGTAATGCTTATTTATAAAGCTTATTTATGTATAAAATTAAAAGCTCCAAAAATTTAATTACTTGTATATACATGAAAAAAAAGACAAAGTCTAGAAAACATATCTAATGCATTAATTAACTTTAAAGAAAGGCTCTAAGAATGTAAATTCAAATATTTCAATATTAAGGCTATTCAAACCGCGCTAGGTGTCAATGCAAATTTATATACATAAGACAATAAATCAACGATTATTTAAACATGCGTTTCGACTCTTATGGTTGTTCTACAATGTGCTCTTTATTTCCTGTTTCTTGCTTTTTACCTTTTGCTTTTTTCCTCTTTGTGATCGTTTTATCAACGATTATATTTCTTGATATGTGTTTTCTTTTTCTTCTGAAGTCCATTAATATTTATCTCGAACAACAGAAAACCCAAAATGGAATAAGAAGCAGAAAGGTAAGATACAATAAATAGCAAAAAATAAGAAACAGGAAACAAAAAACACATTGTAGAACTTTATAATTCTCACTTCCTCTCGTTGCAATCTTTCTGCAACTCTTACATTCTCGCATGCGTTAAAGACATTTTATTAAATAATTATTATATAGTATATTCGACGATTATATAGTAAATGTAGGAGTACAACAAGAAAAAGAGATTGCACGAATAAAATAATATGTGTAGATTCGCAATGGATGAGAGAGGACAATGGATTGGAAAGAGAACGTAGGTAAGGAAAGAGACAAAAAGAATAAAACCCCCTTTCCCAGACCCCTCGCTTTGCCCCTAGAACCCAATGTCTGTTACGTACTTCTCCTCCCTTGTGACCGGATGTGTGTCACACATACACACCACATATACATTTACGCATTAACACATAATGAATTAAAATCTTCATAATTATTCTACTAATGAATAAGTTTCCTAATCAATAAATCTTATTAAAATAAATAAATCTTCTTTTTAAAATAAATCTTTTTTATTCTATCTTCTGTTATTGGTGAATAATAAAATAAAAACGAAAAATAGAATAATCTTTAAAGGTTGATTTTATCCCTTTAGGGTGAATTCAGGTAATAATTTCAAAAAAATTATTTATGTTAGGATATCTTTTATGTATCATCATAGTTTCACAATTTTTTGAATTTCCGAGTTGATCTTTTCTTATCATTTAAAATGGCAAATATGTTTGGATACAGAATACCAAGTCTCTAATGCCTACTGTACACTGAACGCGATGGACGATAAGCAATATTCTATGAAAGCTTTGCTTTTTCTGCTTCGTAATGATGTAAAGCAGAGTTCTCATTGGATATTGCTCATTGCATCCGATATACAGTAAGTATAAGTCGAGTACAGAATATCAAGACTTAATCATCTAAAATGATTATTTTAAACATGATCTTTCGACTATTAACGTTAATTTTGTAATTATCATTTTTGCAATTTAGGATATTCTCTTGTAAATATATATATATATATATATATATATATATATATAAACGTCAAATTATGTTAAATTATTAATGCACTCGGCAACTATCTTCAATGTTAAACGTTCAATTGGGAATATTTCGACAATGCATAAATTAACAAGCCATTATATTTATATAAGGTATTTCCTGTAACTTGATCATTTAACATATCTCCGTTATTTTTGATGATATGAGAAAATACCACATTGGGATGTTATTTGATTGGGATGTTATTTTATTCGAAGGAGCACGTTTTATGATGAGCAAAAAATTTTTTTCAAGGTCATATTTTTTGAGACTTTAAGATTACCTCCACTTTTTTAAATGGATTATATGATTTTATGATTTTTTAAAGAATTGTATGATTTTTTTACATAATATGATTCCTCTAATTATTCTCAAAACAAAATAATGAGATGAATAAAAAATGATGCAAAGAAAGCACATAGTTGCTTTAAAAATATATATATGCAAAATGGATAATTTTTAAATAAGCAATTATGTGTTTTTTCCATCAATTGATTCATCTCATTATTTTGTTTGTAAAGGTATTAAGATATTATTAAAAAATTAATAGTTTACGAGTTATTTAACATTTTATTACGTCAATATATGCCAAAATAAGGTATAAAATATCTCGTAAACTAATTTTTATATATCACTACCTTAATACTTTTATATTCAAAATAATTAGAGGAATCAGATTGTGTAAAAAAAATCATACAGATTTATTTAAAAAAGTGGAGATGACCTTGAAGTCTCAAAAAATATGAATTTGAGAAAAATTTTTTGCTCATCATAATATGTGCCCCTTCGAATTGAATAAAATCTTCTGTGGTATTTTCTCATATCATCAAAAACAATGGAGATATTTTTAATGATTAAGTTACTGAAAACACTTCGTATAAGTGGATAAATCTTACGATTAAATAAAACAAAACAAATTATAAACATTTGTAAGTGTAAAAAATTTTTTTATATGAACAATGATTTTCGAATTAGTTATTATCTGTTTTTGTATTTATATAGTCTGTTTACTTACTGTTTTGTGGAAAGTAATAAGGGATGCAACCGCATTTTGCTCTTATGATACTAGCTCGACATTCTGCAAGACAATTGTGATATGAGTATGCCGTGAAAGTTAAATTCCTCTCTTTGACATTTGCATACAGCACTTTGTCAGCCTCCTCACTAAATATGCATTTTCGCGTAGAAATTTTCAAGTCCTTCACTTCGGATTTGGAATACATTTCCGCTGGATTGATGGTTACAAAATGTTGACTGTTTAATCGTACTAATTGAATTTCAGCATTAAAATCTGGATAGTCAAATGAATAATGTATCATAACCTGTAACAATGTATAACATATTTAGTTAATAATTTCTAACGAAAAGAATAAATATTCAGGTATGTAGAATATAAAAAGTTACATGATGAAATTTATTGTCCATTTTTTTTTAAGTTATAACGGATTATTAGGATTTTTCCATTAACAAAGGAATACATCCGTTTTAAACGATTTGGAAGTTCTCGCCAATTGTTGGTTCATCCTTACTCAATTTTACTTAATTTGAAAATTACGTAGTTATAAAAATTATTAGTCATTATTCGGATTAACGAACGCGCCAATAACCTTGACATATGTTATTAAGATCATAACTCTGAGTGATTTTCAAAAAGTTTTAGGTGCTGTTTGTTTAAAAGTTATTAATAAATAAAGTTTAAAAACTGTCTTAATTCTGCTATAAACTGACAGGCATATAACTTTCCATGCAAAAGGAGTTTCACCCCACATCTTCCTGTCACAGGGCATACGACTTTACAAGCAAAGCGACTTCAACCTCACCTTCCCCTTGTTATGGGGCGAACAACTTTCTATGCGAAACGAGGTCTACCTCCTCTGCCGTTTGAGAAGGAAATCGGTCGCCTTTTGGTTGAGAGGAGAGGTGTGATGGAGTTCATTTTACGTGGAAAATCGTGCCTTGGCAGGAGGAAAGATTGGGTGGACTTTTTTTTGCGTGGAAAGTCGAACACTCCTAGATAGGAAGGGTATAGGGAAATTTTTAATATTGTATATGGTAGAAATAAAACATTTTTTAAATTTTATTTGTTAATAACTTTTGAACAAACAGTGACAACCACCTAAAACCTTTTGAAGGTCATCAGTATCACGACCTTCACAATATGACAACATCAATATCAAGGTTAAGGTCGTCGGTGCGGTGTCCATTATAATTCGAATAATTACTTTTTTTTATTAGAATATAATCATAATCTTTTTATTATGTAAAAAATTTGTTTTATGTAATAGAATTTTTTATTACATATAAAAAAATATCTTTTTTCATCATTTGAAAGAAGATTTGCATTGGAAAACTGTAAACTATTTTTTTAATTCTAATAGAAAGAAACAACCAAAAAATGTTTTGAAATCGAGTCGATATCAATTCCATTATTATATTTCTTAATGTACCATAATGTATGCGCCAGAATAGCGATATGTAACTTTATCTCTAGAGCTGAAATGTGAAAAATAAGAACTTTTGCATGTGTATATGTACATACATAAAAATTGTCACTTTCCACATTTTCGCTCTAAAAAAAAGTTACGTATTACATGATCACTACCTAGGCTAGTCGATCTGCGCCATGTCGGTCCGTGATGATCAGTCACTCGCCAGTGCCACTAGACGAAAAACACGACGTTGCTGGCGCTTGCAAGTTGCAAGTTTGCTATGCTAGCAGCATGGCATTTACGCAAGGGCTCATACTAGCTCCTTATTTAAATTTTTATCAGGGAGGAAAAAAATAAGAATTGAGTATAATTAAAAATTGATTACCTTTATTCCATACGCTCCAATAATTGTAGCGTAATAATCATTTGGTTCGGAATTTACTACTATGGTCATACCAGTCTCAAATCCGCAAGCGGCAGCTCTTCTCACACTTTAATGTTAAGAATTTATATTAATTAGAAAATATAATGTAATATGATTATTTGTAGAATGCAGAGTCGGATTTTGGTATTTATAAGCTTTTAATGCTTTTTATTCCGATATAAGAAAAATAAAATCTTTTTTTGTTTTTATCACAAATTAAATAGTAAAATAATTTTTATCTTGTAATTTCTTTTTCTTTGTTATATAAAACATTTCTTTGTTCTATTTCCTAGTTTTTGTATAAACTGAAAGATCTTTTATAAAGCTTAAAAATTCTTTTTCCGCTCTGCAAAAATAGTGTTCATACTTCTTGAATGTCGTTGTATCTGGAAAAGTATAATAATTGAAACTGCAACATAAGCCATCTAGTGATAAACTTTGCTTGAAATATTTATCACATTGATCAATTCTACCTTTCCATTTACACATTGTCAATAAAGTACTACAGTTTTGTGTTATCTGAAAGAAGTTGCTATTAGCTTTTGTAGTACTAAAATGCGAAACAGTTAAATATATGAATACATTTGATAACATAGTTATTTATACAACATTAAACAATTTTTTTCATAGGTGATGTTTCATATAGGCTTCTTTTCATAGATTTATGAATTTGTAACGAGAAATGCTCCAGCGTGTCAGATTTATAGAAAACCACGTTAAAAACGCGTTTCTGTTATTTTTGTCTACCGGCAGTATTTAACGCAACATGCAGCTTTTGACGCGATAATCTTTGTCCTTTTGCTAAAAATGATTTAAATGTCAGAGCCGAAACGCGTAGAGCCGAAAAGCAAAATGTTATAAGGTTTTAAATAATTGACTTATTGATAACGAGTAAATGTCTTATTAAAAAGATATTAATTTGCGTACTTCTTACAACTTCTTGGCTATTTCGATAGCCTCCTTTTATTTTAATTTGTTGAAGTATCGGGAATCCTTTTTTATATTATTTATTCGAGAATTTTGTTGACATACATATATGCGCATAATAAATTGTTTTTATACATACATACCAAGTCCATTACTTTAAAAATGGTCAAATGGTTATCATCTATAATGTCTTGTAGATGAGTAAGGTTTCTTTGAATATCATTTCCGAATATTCCTGGTCTTAGTAATTCGTTCATTAGTCGCATTTCTTGAATTAAATATTCTTTCGAGACATTGGTTGGTGTTTTTCTATAATATGAATAAACATGATAAAGAGGTAAAATGACTGTAGTATGTAGAATTATGCAATATGAATATAAAGAAAAATTAATTATTTGCGAAGTTATTGAATATTATTATATATATATTATATAAAACCGTAAAAGGCTAAATACTTACAAATTTTCAACGAACTTTTTCGTTAAATTATAAGATATGCGATTAATATCGCACACAGTTATTGCGGGAAATGGATAATTCCAAATTCCATGATGTGTTGATTCAATAACTGTCAAAGTTGGATGGGTAGCGTAATAATTCCAAGCCATTCTTATTAAAACAATGGCGCAAACTAATGACACGAATACAACTATCGCCCAAATAATTCTAT